GAAACTTAATCGGGTGCGACCAAAAGCCCCGTTTAAGGTCAGTATCGGGTAGAATTCCATCGTGTCCAAGTTTTAGAACCTATATAAACGTGTTTAAGCACCCATTTGAAGCTTTTTCTTCCTCTCTCTACTCTCTCTCTAACCTCTCTCCTAAATCCAAAGTTAAGGGTCCAAATTATCAATTTAAGGCTCCAAATCCTTGAGGTACCTTCCATAACTTGTTGTACAACCTCTCTAGCTTTAGAATTCGAGTTTTAACATTTAATTAGGACCATTATTATGAGTTTACGTCCCTAGAACAGTACTAGGCCGTAAACTCAAGAAAGTGGGGTTTTTAGAGCAACAAAACCCTTGCAAACCTCAAATGGACCTTAGACATGACTAAATGACCTTGTGGAATGGACTTAGAATGCCTTAAACTATAACTTGAAGCATTGTATATGAGTTTACGGCCATTGAAGGTGCCTAGGCCGTAAACTCACATTTAAAGGGGTTTTAAGCCCTTAAACCCTCCCTAAACTCAATCAAGCCCTAGTTATGATTTTTAGAAATTATGTAATATTGCACTCTCACCAACAAAGCCCTGACTTGGTGGAACAGCCGAGTCAAATCTCTAACTCTACCTGTAGCCAATGCTATGGGTTGGGAAGTCATGAAGGAACTTCTACACGCTGAGTATTGCCCTCGGGGTGAAATCCAGAAGCTGGAACATGAACTTTGGAATCTGAAGATGAAAGGTTCCGATATCGCTGCCTACACATCCAGATTTGATGACTTAGCACTTCTTTGTCCAGGGATGGTTACCCCTGAAAGTAAGAAGATTGAGAGGTTTATCTGGGGATTAACCCAGCCAACCAAAGGGAACGTCTTAGCTACGAGGCCAGATACATACGATAGCGCCAAATGCCTAGCGCAAATCTTGATTGACCATAGTGAGGACGTAGAGGAAGTAGCCACCACTCCTGAGCTGACAGAAAGAAGTGGTGAGAAAAGAAAGTACTGGGAGGCAGGGGATAAATATCAGCCTTCCCAGGAGTACTCGAAGAGACAACAAATGATGACAGTCCACGCTGCCACTACCCCTGCTGTTGTACCTGTCATCGGTTCCTCAGCTCAAGCACCTATTACCGGATATGCCAGTGTTCTCCCGTGGTGTAACCAGTGCAGTTACCACCACTATATCACCGGTCCCTGTCGTATGAAACTTTGCAAAAATTGTGGCCAAGAGGGTCACCTTGCGCGGAACTGTAAAACACCCTCAAATCAAGCTCCTGGAGCGGGCGTTAATCAGGTCTATTCCTTTTCAACGATCGGGCATTATAAGAAAAACTGCCCCAATGCAACCACAACTGGCAACCCTGGAAGAGTCCTAGCTATAGGACAAGGTGAGACATCCACCGATCCCACAGTTGCCCCAGGTATATTCCTTTTCAACGATCATTTCGCTTGCAGTTCTTTTTCAACTCTAACCTAAAAAGATAAATTGTTATCTATTCATTCGAATCTCTCCATAAACGTAGAACTTTTCGAAATCCTCATTAGGATTGATCCTGTAACATACAAACTTCGACTAACCTCGAAACCTAGAGACACTCCTATGGTACTTCACGTCTCGGTCTTTTAGAAATACCCACCCAACGAAACCTAGACGCTTCTTGATAGTGAAGGTTCACTGGAACGTCTAGTAGAGACTCGATTCCACGTGGAAGCGTGAAGATCCAAAACAGTAAACTCATCCTCGATTCTCTTTTCAACTTGCAATTTGAGTCCAAATCTTTGAATTTCGGGACGAAATTCCCTCTAACGGGGGGATAATGTAACAACTCGAAGTTTTCCATCATCGAAAACTTGTTCTACCCGTGAGACTTCGCCGTCGATCGATTCGTTCCGTTCTCGCTTCTGGTTAATTAATTAAATTTATATGTTACTATAATTGATTGAGTGTCCAAACCCCTTGGAACTCATGAAATTAACCCAAAAGTGTTCATTTCAAAAAAAAAAAAAGTTAGAAACATTCCCGCCGGGTGACGGTAACTTAATCGGGTGCGACCAAAAGCCCCGTTTAATGCCAGTATCGGGTAGAATTCCACCGCGTCCAAGTTTTGGGAACTATATAAAACGTGTTAAACCCTTCATTTGAAGCTTTTCCTTCTCTCTCTACTCTCTCTCTAACCTCTCTCCTAAATCCAAAGATTAAGGGTCCAAAACTCAATTTTAAGGCTTCAAATCCTAAAGGTACCTTCCTAGCCTTAATCCATAGCATGTTTGGCTTCCAAATTTGACATTTAATCATGAAATAGGACATCATATGTGAGTTTACGGCCCAGGAGGTTGCCTAGGCCGTAAACACCATTTTGAAGGGTTTTTGAGCCCTTAAACCCCTCCTTGACTAGTTTGGACTTTAGATATGGCTATGGGACTTCAAGATATGGACTCTAAACATGTAAAACATAAATTTTGTGATGTTTGAAGGAGTTTACGGCCAAGGATCATTCTTGGGCCGTAAACTCATATAATTAGGGTTTTCATGCCCTTAAACCCTTCCAAATCACTTCTATGGCTTAGATATGAATTATAGGACCTTGGTTTTAGCATTTGGACACTTGAAACATGAATTTTGGGGGATTTAGATGAGTTTACGGCCAAGGTGAGTGCTTGGGCCGTAAAATCCCAAAACTTGACATAATCCAATTCTAAGGTGTTAGAAAGCCATCCAACACCACCAAAAGCCTTGGAATAAATCAAAGGATCAACCAAAAATACTTTAAGGGCCTAAAACACATCATTTGTGCGATTTCTAAGAGTTTAAGGCCAAGGCTTGTTCTTGGGCCGTAAACCAAAATCTTTGGTGTTAGAATGCAAACTAA